GCTCTAGCCCCGCCCTCCATCCTTCCCTGGATGCTCTAGCCCCGCCCCCATCCTGCCTGGACACCCCAGCCCCGCCCTCCATCCCTCCCTGGACGCTCTAGCCCCGCCCTCCATCCCTCCCTGGATGCTCTAGCCCCGCCCTCCACCCCTCCCTGGACGCTCTAGCCCCTCCGTCCATCCTTGCCCCCTCCCAGGCCGCCTTGATCACTCTGTGGAATGTGATGGTGGTAAACAACTGGCAGGTGTTCATGGACGCTTACCGGCGCTACTCGGGCCCGTGAGTCTCTGCCTCCCCAGGACATTAGGTTGTGGTGGGAGCCTGGCGGGGTGGCGTCCTGGGCCCTGCCTCCCTATTGCTCCGGGTCTGCGCCTCCTGGCAGTGTTGGGTGCTCTGCTCAGGCATGGTCCCCCGCCCCCCAGGTGGTCCAAGCTTTACTTCGTGGCCTGGTGGCTGGTGTCGTCTGTCATCTGGGTCAACCTGTTCCTGGCTCTGATTCTCGAGGTACCGGGACCCCGCACAGGCCGATCTCACCCTGGGCATCCGGCACGCTCCGGACAGTCCATCATGGGGGGTCCCAGGCAGTTGCTTCTGGTGGCTGCCCTCCCCTGTGGACACTGGGGGGTGGGAGGGCAGGCTTCACTCCCCACACTCACTGGCTGCCCCTCCCTCTTGCCGGCCAGAACTTTATCCACAAGTGGGACCGCCGTGATCAGCACCCGCATTCGCTCGGGACCCCCGAGGCTTCCTACCACTCCACCGTGGAACTCATGTTCAGGTGAGTGGACAGTGGGCAGTGGGCAGTGGCCTCCGTGTCAGAGAGGGAGCTCAGACGGGCAGCCATGATGGGCGGGTGGAGCGGAGGCAGCCAGGTTGGGTCTGTAAGGAAACCTCCCCAAGCTTCCGTTTCCTTCCGGGAATGGTCGGCTGGTGGCTGAATGCTGGGTGGTTCAGCTAGCAGGGATGACCCCCAGCCGTCCCCACCATGGTAACTTGGAGGCCATCCCTGTACAAGTGCAGAATGGTGGATAGTCACCCGCACAGCCTCTGGGTGGGCGCTCGTGTTGCCTCCTGAGAGGATCTGCTGGAACGATGGGCCGGTGGGTGCGCTCTCCCGCTGACCCGAGCAGCCATCGAGAGCTCGAGTTGGCATTATGGGCCTCGTCCATGCCCTGTGTCCCTGTCACATCATCTTTGCACCTGACACCGTTGGGATTTCCGCCTCTGCACCCGCAGGGACGTCCTGGAAGAGCCTGCAGAAGACGACCTGCTGGAGAAACTGCGGCGTCACCCCCACCTACAGCTGTGCAGGTGACGTCCAGGTGCCTCCTGGCTGGGCAGCAGGATGAGACACTGGCCTCAGGGACGGCAGCGCCAGCCTGGAAGAGGCAGAGGGTGGGCTGAGCTGGATGACGGAGAACCACTTGCCCAGAGGCCAGCACAAGAGTGGGTGAGACGCTGCTGGTGGACACTCCGACTGTCGTCAGGGCCTGTGTGCGTGTTCCACCCGACGTGGCTGCTTTTGCTGCTCCGAGATGCCTCTGTTCTCTCACCCGGGGACCGAGGCCACCTCCACAGGACCTGCCAGACGCTCTGAAAAGCAAGAAGCAATGTTTCCTCTTGGGCCCCGGGGAGTCCATTGGTACCTTGGCTGCTGGCGACTCTCAGGGCCCCGGTGCCCACCCAGGCCCCCTCAGGTTAACGCACATTTCCAGGGCATTCAAGTTGGGGTGCTGGCGGTTTCATGTGAAGAGAACAGGAGCTGCGTTTTATATTTTGTATAAATATGAATCACAATCGAGTGAAGGTGATTGGATTTTTATGTGTGTTAGCCCTCACAGGAGACTCTCAGAGCAGGGTTGCTCTATAGTGTGATGTGGGTGGGCATTGCATGAAGGAACCAGAGGAAGGGTGCCGTGGAGTCCCTCCCAATGGAGGGTTTCCGAGGCTGTAAATCGTTACGGGAGCAGTAAGCCTCATCTTTCTCCCGCAGAACAGCTGGTAGTTTCGAACTGTTGACCTTGCGGTCCACAGCCCGATTCGTAACCACTACGCTACCAGAGCACCTCCCGGGGGTTGGGGTTGGGGGTGGGGGTGTACCTTTCTCTAATTTGTACAAAGGCAGATAGGAGTGAGTGGTGGCAGGCCCTGCTTCGAGGGGCTGCAGGGCGTGTGGCAGAGGGGGCTACGGTGGGATGAGGGGGCAGGAGCAGTGCACGGAAGGCCACCTTGTCACTTGGTCCCCAGGGGCAGACTGGTAGCTTGTTGAGAAGGATTGGAATTCTCATCAGAAAGAATTCTGGAATTGGCTAGCAATGTCTGCTGTAGGTATTGAACCGGGATGAGGGGACAAGTGCTCGTCCTGTCAGGAAGTGTGCTCCTCACCCCAAAGCAGGAAGTGAGCTCCCAAGGAACGGGAAGTGGGTTTCCCCTTCAGGAGCAGGAAGTGGGCTCCCTCCCTCCCTCCTTCGTCTGTGATATGGGAGTTGGGGGCAGTGTGGGGGAACTGCTGAGCCACTCAAACCCTGGCCTTCTGGGGCTCCTCCTCCACGCACAGTGCGGCTGTCTGTCTGTCCTGGTTTGTCAGCAGTCCTGTGGTTTTGCCTGAAACCACTCACGTTTGGGGGTCCCTGGGGGTGTGATTGTCTTCTGACTCCCAGCAGCAGGCTGCCTTCTTGAAGCTTGATTTTGTGGGCCCTAGCTCACCTTGTGTCTCTGGGCATGAGGACAGGGGAGCAGAGACTCCACCATTCCTGAGCCTTGGGCGCTACGTGTACCCCACAGGTCTTCCTCTCCCATTTCTGTTTCTGTTAGGGTATGGGCGCCACCTGGTGGTGCGATCAGGTATTTAGGACTATCCCCAGGCACCTGTGTGCACTGTGACCCCAGACCAGCCTGCAGCCCCACCTCTCTGTCCCCCAGTCACAACAGAACCACGTTCAACTGGACTGAGGCTACTTCCGGCACACACTGACTGCTGGAAATAACGGTCCCAGCCCCTATACTGCCCGTGACAGTGTCCAAGCTCCGTCCATGGGCCTGGGGCCTCTGTGACCAGTCACTGTCCTGCAGCTGATGGTTCTGGACTCTGAGGTGTTCCCAGAACCCTGCTTTGGTGGACGTGGTACTGAAGTGACCGGTCCTGACGACAGAAAGTGTGTGTGTGGAAACTGGTACCTTCTAACTGCAAGTGAGGTCTTGTGGATGCACATGGGGGGCTCCCCCGGCTTGTGCCCCTTCAGTCTCGTGGGTGGTGGTGGTGGGCAGGTAGGTAGGGTTTCTGTGTCCTGCACCTCACTCCACTCCCAGTGGCTGCCACTTGCTCAGGAGTCCCACCTGAGAAAGGGGCGTGCTGGCATTGCAGATAAACTCCACGGCTCGGTGGGTCCTCAGTTGCTGGCGGCACCCCTCGGTGCGCCTGCAGAGAGGAGGGACTCTGCCCTGCCTTATCCAGTCAGAACCCTGGAGCCAGGGGATTGCAGGTCCTGAGAGGTTATGAGGGCAGGAAGCTGGACATTCTCCTAGCTGGAGCAGCACTGCGGCAGCCCTGGGAAGGCAGGAGGGGTGTTTTCATGCTCCTGAAACAGTGGTCTCTGGAACCTTTAATTCCCCCACGCGTTTTGTCTCTGGGACCTTTGATTCTCTCCCACACATTAATTGAGCACTTTGTACATGACAGACACCAGTTCGGTTCTTAGTGCTGGTGGTTGGGGCCTGGCCACCCTTGGATGCACAGGTGTGGGAGACGGTGAGAACATTGGAGTGAGAGAGCACAGGTGGGTACTGGAAGGCTGCCATGTGGCACCACTGGTTTGCACTGGCAGTTGGAATCCATCCAGTTGTGCCATGGAAGAACGTCCTGGCAATCATTCTGTAAAGATGACAGCCAATAAACTCTGATGAGAGCAACACACAGGGTCGCCATGAGTGAGAGTTGACTTGATGGATTTGGGTGTGGTTGGGGTACAAGAAACTCAAGGAAGGTTCTGGAAGTCACCATTTGAACCAATACCCCGAAGAAGCGAGGGAGGGAGACAGGCCTGGGAATGCCCTGGAGGGCAGGTGATCACGTAGGCGGTCACTGGCTAAGAGATCCGGATAAGCCCTGAGTTGTGCAGAGGTGAGGGTGAAGCTAGAGGGGCTGCGGGGTTTCCACATGCATTAGGAGGGGGAGATCACTGCAGGTATTCCTCTGGGCAGGTCTTGTTAAACTAAAGAAAGAAGCAACTGCACGCTTAAGAGAAGTTTTCAGAATAGTAAGAATGCTTTCCACTGTCCTTTCCATTCAGTTCCATTCTTCCAGCTGTGAGCCCACCCATCTTTCTTATCTGAGAGGAAGTGGACATCCCGTCCCCCCACCCCACAGCACTCTTCTGAGCATGCCCCTCCTTCATAACCACGACCTCCACTGAGGATGCTCACAGACGCCTCACTGCCTCCAATCCTAACCCCATTCTTCTTCCCGATTGTCCCAGTAATGACCTCTGCATCAAGAGCACCCTGTTCTGAGGATGGGGTGGGGTGCCTGAGTCATCACATTTCTGATCTCAGATCCTGCCAGGATGTTGAGGACACTTTAGAAGACAGGCATTTCCTTGTCTGTTTCTCAGGTTGGCTTCAGGGGACGTCTTTGTGGGAACATCACAGAAGGGATGGGTGACATACAAATCCGACTTGTCCCATGCCTGGTGTTCATGCTGAACACTCGCTTGGGCAGACATCTGCCAGGCTCCTTGGTGTCAAGTGTCTCTCCACCTTTGTGATGAGGGAGTGCTTTGTGTCGGTAATTTTAACGAACTCTGCCAACGTCCTATTTCTTTCCACAGTTCTCTCCCATCTTCTGTCCATCTACTCACCCATCAATGTCCACATACCTAGTCATCCACCTTCCTTCTCTTCCCTTCCTTTCCCTGTCCTCCTCCTGTCCATCCATCTATCCATGCATCCACGCACTCACCCATCCATCCATTCATCTCTCCTCAATGTTTCCCCTTCATCCATCCATCATCCATCCACCCATCCACCCCATCCATCCATCCATCCATCCATCCATCCATCCATCCATCCATCCATCCATCCCATCTATCCATCCATCCATCCATCCATCCACCCACCCACTCACTCATCTCTTCCTTTCCCCTTCATCCATCCACCTACCCATCCACTCACCCGCCCATCCATGCATTCATCCATCCTTCCACCCATCTCTCCTCTCCCGTTCCCCTTCATCCATCCATCCACCCACTCATCCATCCATCCTCCCTCTCAGTTGATGGTGTACAACACAGTTCAATTCTGGGATCACCTGTCTCCCCACACCAAAGGAGGAGATTCAGGGTCGAGGGTCACTGGTGTCATCTTAAACTTCTGTCTACCACAGAGAACTTGCCTGTCTTCAGGGGCAGGAGGTTGGCATGGTAAAAATGTGAATATTCTCCAATGAATCCAGAGATTCATTACAGTGCTAGACAGCATGCCACTGAAAACTCTATGGATCCCAGTTCCACACTAACATATGGGATCACCATGAGTTGGCAGCAACTTCTAGCAACTTTTGACCTCTAAAAGACACCATACAAGAATGCACAGGAGGAATGACTGTGCGTTTGGTGCTGGACCACCGCAATAAAGCGACTCACAAACGACTTGGTTTCTCATTGCATACCCAGGAGTCCTGGTGTGGCGCAGCAGGATAAGCACTGGACTGATAGCCGTGAGATGGTGGTTCAAACCCACCAGTATTGTTGTTGTTGTTATGTGCTATCGAGTCGGTAACTCATAACAACCTTATGCACAACAGAACGAAACACTGCCTGATCCTGGGCCAACCTCACTACTGTTGCCACGCTTGAGTCCATTGACGCTGCCACTTTGCCAGTCCATCTCACTGGGGAGTCTTCCTCTTTTTCTCTGACCCTCCACCTTACCAAACATGATATTCTTCTCCAGTGACTGGCTCTCCTGACAATATGTCTGAAGTATAAGAGACCAAGTTTAGTCATCTTGGCCTCTAAGGAGCACTCTGGCTGCACTTCTTCCAAAATGGATCTATTGGTTCTTTTGGCAGCCCATGGCACTTTCAATATTGTCCTCCAACACCATAACTCAAATGCATCAATTCTTCTATGGTCTTCCTTTTTCACTGTCCAGCTTTCGCATGCATATGAAGTGATTGAAAATACCATGGCTTGGGTCAGGCACACCTTAGTCCTCAAGCTGACATCTTTGCTCTTCAATGCTAAAAAGATCGTGTACAACAGATTTGCCCAATGCAATACGCCATCTGATCTCTTGACAGCTGTTTCTGTGAGTGTT